AGACCATTATTTAGCAATCCATAGATATTTTACCTACAATAGCAATAAATACTGTGGCGTTTTCAACTGTCTCATTTCCTATTGAACCGATCTGACAACAATCGAACCTTGAGTATCGAAAAAAATTTAGTATCGAGTATATTTATTCGCTAATAATTTCCAACATTCCATATTTTCAGTAAAGTTCACGCATGCGCATTAAACATTATCTCCTTAGTCATGCTGTGCCCAAATATTTTATATCACTAGAATGTTTATGAGGGACATATGTTGTTTTGGGTTTTTTTTAAAAACACATGGTTTGCTGCGTCGAGCGGAGAGCGACGTCAGCGCGTAACTGCAAAAGTTTTGCAGCATTTAAGGATTGGCTAGAGAAGAATTTAAATGTTTTCCTTAAATACCAAGAGAAAGTTTCTGCCTAAAGGGGTCCCCCGGCTATAAAGATTTAATCTTGGAAATTACAGTTAATGGCGGACGGTGAATTGTGTAAATTGTTGTCGGGCAACAGATTTAGCTCACCGGACGATTTCCCGCTCAAAGGCCAGGTTAAGAATCACCTGACACCATTTGTCATACATTCAACGTGATTGTTATGTATGTAGAAATCTCCACAATTACAATCAAGTTTTTTTTTTCTTATTTTCTATCGTTACATCCAAGTGGTTAAAAATGGGGTAGAAGGCGAATCTATAACAAAAGTCTAATATTCACATTACTTACACACACAAGACAAAAGTTTGGGTCAGCCCACTAGATTCAATAATTAGTAAGTTTCATACCTTCTTTGGTTTAATTAACCTCTACTAAATTAGGATTCTGAAGCTATTTAATCCATTACTGTATGGTGTCCAATTTTTTAGAGAAGGGTTGCCTAAATTTTTAAATCGACCAGCGCTTAGATTACCATAAACCAGCAAGGTAGATTTGGCGAAATGGGATAAAATTTGAAGGAAAGTTGTTTTATTATTATTATTATTATTATTATTATTTATTATTATTATACCACCACCACCTTCCAGGAAGAGGTCACTGTTGCCCGAAGTGAGCCAGGAAATTAATTTTGAAAAAGACGTAATCTTCAATTTTTAGCCGAGTCACTGAAAACCAGAGGGTGGGACCAAACTTTTTTTTGCCTATTTTGTGTTTGTATATATATATATATATATATATATATATATATATATATATATATATATATATATATATATCATCCCATAAGTTCTGTTCGAATTTTAACTTTTGTTAAAATGAACGAAATTTAAAGAATATTTTATAATGTCAAATGAAGCTGAACATTATTTTTATGTTTAGATGCATTTAAACTGATCAAATTTTATTTCAGAGAACAATAAAATTAAATTTTGTTTGATTAAAACCCTGCTAACATGGAAGTACCCAAGAATCATTTGAGGCACATAATGCTTTATGAGTTCAAGAAAGGAAACTCAGCAGCCAAAGCAGCTAGAAACATTCACTCAGTTTATGGACAGGAATGTGTGAATGAAAGAACTTGCAGAAGATGGTTTGCAAAATTCAGAGGTGGAGATTTCACCCTTGAAGAAGATGATCGAACCGGACGTCCAGGTGAGTTTGATGAAAAGCTTCTTGAAGCAGCCCTTGAAGAAAATCCTGCTTTATCAGTAGAGGAATTGGCAGTGGTTTTCAGTTCAAACCATACAACTGTTCATCGTCATCTTCAACAACTTGGAAAAGTTGCTAAACTTGGAAAATGGGTGCCTCATGAATTGTCTGAAAACAACCTCAAATCCCGAGTTGACATCTGTTCTTCTCTCCATTCTCGCCAACTTGTTTCACCTTTTTTGGATAGACTTTTGACTGGCGACGAAAAATGGATCTTTTATCGAAATGTTAAGCGTCGTAGACAGTGGCTTGGTAAAGGGGAATGACCCCAGCCACAGCCGAGAAGGAAACTTCATGGGCAAAAGGTTCTTCTTTCTATCTGGTGGGATCGCCAAGGAATAATCCAATTTGAATTCTTACCACCTAATGCAACAATTAATGCTCAAATATACTGTCAGCAATAAGAGCGTTTGAACCAAGCTTTGAGGAAAAAAAGACCTGCTCTAGTGAATGGAAAAGAGGTGATATTTTATCAGGACAATGCGCGCCCCCACACAGCAAGAATTACGTCACAAAAGATCGAAGAACTTGGTTGGGAGAAAATTCCTCATCCACCTTATTCTCCAAATCTTGCTCCTTCAGACTACCATTTGTTTCGTAGCTAGGAAGAAACAGCTTTTGTAACACAGGAAGAGGTTAAAACTGACATTTGTGAGTTCTTCGAATCAAAGCCAAAAGAATTTTACAGTAATGGAATTAGTAAGCTTGTTAATAGATGGAAGGAAGTCATAGATAATCAGGGAAAATACATTGTCGATTGAATCTGTAATTAAATGTAACATTTGGTCACTTGTTTTCTTTATTCAAAATTCGGACAGAACTTATGAGATGATCTTATATATATATATATATATATATATATATATATATAAGTTTGCTATATTTATAAAGAAAGAGTGATAGCAGAATAAGGAAAGAGAAGGATAGTAAGACATTGCTAAGAGCTACAAACTATAGGAAGTTGTGGAGAACGATGATCGCCCACTTCCTGGAGCAACACATTACACAAAACATGATGATGCTCGTGTATAATTTGTTTTTAATCATTTCACTCCAAGCAAGGCGGGAATGCCACTAGGGCGCAGAGATTACATGGAATGAAAGTAAAAAAGAAGACTGAGAATCGGGAGGACAAAAGATGAACGCATCTATTTCAACAGTAAAAGGGTGGGACCTAGTTGCCAATCTAGCTTAAATTCATGTATTCAGGGCACCAGCGAAAAAAGTTCGTTGTAGCAGTTGCGATGGAAATATTTCTAGAAAAGACAGAGAGAAGTTACACAATGTCGGTGAGAAAGTGACTGAAGTCGAGTTGCTTGGTCAGGATCGATTACATTGATATCTGTCTATTTTTCAGGCTACATAATTGGTTTACAATAACTGTAGGCACAATGGAGAGCCGTAATTATAGACTAACTATTAAAAGCATTGCTATAAATCTGTCAATTCCCATACTTAAAAGCAAATTGTATGACCAGGTAAAGAAAGGAGGGATTAATTTATGAAATTCAGCTAAGATTGGTGTTAGATCGTGGGGGATATCTTGTGCATAAAGTTAGGGTTAAGAGATTAATTTTTATGTAATTATATCACTAGGATATCGATTTTATGATTAACTGCGAAGGTCGCAGAACTCCTTTCTGATTTGAAACATTACTCACCCCGCCCCCATAAAAGTTAAAAAAACACAAAAAAACAAACAAAGAAAAAACACAACCTTTTCTTTCGACTCAAAACGACTTCCACAAAAACAGGTCTCCTTTGAGGAGTGTGGAATCTCCTCTCCGTAAAGTAATGGTTGATAAGCGATTATCACAAACCAAACTGCTAGTGTAATGAAAGCGATCACCACCAAGTGCCCAAATCCTATGACCCTGCGCCAGAATTAAGTTTAGTAAAAGTTTTGGGTGCTAAGAGATGAAAATAGAGCTTAAAAAAGATGAAGTTGGAGAGGGATTTTTTCGGTTCCAATCCATTGGTCAAGCATCTTTCATACCCACCCAAGCGTTACCTCTCTATGTTCAGTGGTTAGAGAAAAGACTTGAAGGTAAGCAGTCTGTCCACAGTGGGGTAGCGTCACCACAAACAGGAATTAAATTTGTGGGTATGTTCGTTAATGGATGTTCACCGCCACACATGAGTCAATTTTGACAACCAAATTAAAAAAAATGTCTATTTTGCAAGGAAAAAAAATGAAACCAAGATAGGCGCCTTCGCATTAAGCTTTGTTCGATAGAAATTTTTGTTATAAGAATTTATCATGTGAAACGCTAAGAGGCAGAAATATTTTATTCCCTATCAGTGGTTTGGAAAAGAACGAGAAATAGTAATCTTAGCTGTTTCCTTATAAGGAAATATTCAACATTCATTGACCGAGCAGCCAGTGCTCCTGTTGATTAAAATTGATAAAATCTTTCTCTTCAAACAATTTTCTTTAGAAAAACAGGATTCTAAAGTTGCGTAACGGGTATTGTTATTTCTAGTAGTGACAGGGGTTTCCTTCCTAACGTTTTGTTTCAAGTAGTGTGGAACATCAACGTCTTCATAATGTCATTTTCTCTTCACGGTACATGTCTTATCGATTTTAGTTGCTACAAGTCCTGGTTTCTGATTTTTGGTACAGTTGTTTGTGATTCTATAGTGCCAGTTTACAAGGTTCAAAGAAGGATTGTCCTCGCTAAGACCTGCAGGCTTCATTCACTCAAGGCCATTTTTAATCATTGATCTTAGAAAACCGTTGTATACGGCCGATAGTTTAAGTATTTTTGAACAAGTCTTGTGCCATGAATGTTATACATATGAAAGTCTTGATCTGACGCGGCTATTTCAGAATATGACTCGAGGTCTTATATTAATGTTTTGGTTTTGTAGCAACTTGTAGTATTGGGCGAAACTATCTCTACCGCAGCATATTCTGTGTTCAATATCTTTATCTCCTATACTAAATTTATTATAACTGATCTATACATTGAATTATTCGGAGTGTTTATTATTTCTTAATTCCATATCAAAAAAATTTTTCTTCAGCATATGTGCCATCACAATTCAAAAATCATAGTTTGTTTTGGAAAGGTTTATCTTAAATCCTATATCTTGATATAGGATGCTGATTTTTTGCTCCAGATCTTATCCCAACTCTGAATACTTATGTCATCAGCATACCGACCCCCTCATTATCAGCAAATTAGCCTCGGGAGGGGAAGCGGGATTGTTTTCTATTTGTAAATAGAATGAGAAATTTATCCTGCAAAGATATCTTAAGTAGCTTGGAAAATTGTTATGAGCGCAATACTTGAGACTCATTATTCGGCAAATAAGGCATCGAATGATTTTAAGAAATTCCAAATTTGTTCATGTGAATGTCTCAACGCCATTATTTTTATGTTCTTCATTCAGGCAGAATGATCATCTCGGCTTTTCTCTCTCTTACAACTTGGTAAGGCTGGTCCGTAATAATAACGATAACAGTTTAATCGGGTTACTTCTCTGCTGGCAGAAGTGATACTCCTGTTTTTAATTTACACACAACAATATGGCCGACATAGTACTTCCGTGTCTGGACAATGGCTGAAATGGTGCTTCCGTTTCATCAGTTCCTGGTTACAACACTGTTCAAGAATTCAACCAGTTTTGTTCACGGAATCATTGGATCTCTTCAAATAGATCTAAAATCATGTTTTTCACGGGCGTAACTTTTATTCGCAAGGCTACCCAGCAGGGTTAGTTGGGGTGCTAAAAATCATTATGCACTTGTCCCTCGAGGTGATGGGGCGTCCCCTAAACCTTTACCTCTACTTTGTGAAAAAATGAGAATAGATAATACCAGATGCTAGCCAAAATTGCTTGTACCAACAACTAATTTCAAATGTCTATTTGAAGTAGTCTCTTGCCTATTCAACAGCTCAAAGACTACTGCTCACAAAGTGTAGCGGCTAAAACCCATACTACAGTAGGTTAAAAGCGTACTCTTCAAATTTAGAACAATATAATTTCGCTCGACTGATTACCCGGTCTGTTATTACGATCAGCTTGGATGAAATTTTCATTGTCAGTCACAATTTGTTTAAAAGAAGCAAAACGTTTTCATTTAAGGATCAACTCGAAAATAGAAATGTGATGTCTGTATTCGCTTATGCGGAAGCTACACGTCAAAGAGACTAACATAACCAACAGCAGATGTGATCTTCAATATTTGATTTGGATATTTTGAGTACTCCCTTCATCTCCATCCTCTTTTGATTATTCTCTAATAATCTCTAGATTGGATCCATGGTAACCTCAACAGGTTTTATACGACCGTAGAGTGTCGTTTAGCAAGATACGTCTTCATACTAAGCTCACTAGAAACTGTAAAACTAATTTTCTGAGTTACATTTTTTCGTTTCTTTGAATAAAATGGCATAAAATACCGAAATTGGAACTGTCTTCCATATTCAATTAGAATCAATATGTAAACAGATCCATCTTTGACAATTTTTGAAATAGAAACTTTGATACGACAGCTGTAACATGAAAAGCTATTTTGGAAATTGAATCTAAACACTAATGAGAATCACAGAACAACTTCTTTAGTTCAGAATATATATATATATATATATATATATATATTGAACAATAAAAATATTAAAAAATTAAAATCTTCAGACACACTGGGTTGTATATTAATATTCTTTCATTTTTATTATTATTTCATTTAGATTCCTTGACTAGTTTTGGCCAACACGGCCATCATCAGGAGAAAAAATAATTTTCTGCTTGCTGGTAGCAGTGAACTACAGAAATGAATGTCTTGATGGAGAAAATGAACTTTTGTCTGTAGTTTTCATTTGTTTTTTTATTTTTTTAACATGAATTTTGGTCAGGCCTTGTGTTGGTCAAACAGTCTCTTTTAAGTTGTTATTTAAGATAAGAGCTCGATGGATTCATGCTGCTTTGAATATATATATATATATATATATATATATATATATATATATATATATATATATGTGTGTGTGTGTGTGTGTGTGTGTGATCTACAGACTGTATCAGTGTATGATTGCTGATCAGTGTAGCTAGACATCCGATTGCATAAAACCAGGATCGAAACCCGACTGATTTGGCATCAGTCGGAGATTTTTCCCCTAAGCTATCAGCTCCCAGCAGAAAAGGAAGGTGATTTTGTACGTATTTATTGAATAAACACGCCAGTGACAGAGTGCTCGATCCATAGAAGGGCTTTTGCATTATCAGCAGTAGCAGTCACTGTTTACAAATTCGCGCTATGATTGATCTAAAGTGCTCGACCAATTTTATTTTTTCGGGGGCGTGTATATATATATATATATATATATATATATATATATATATATATATATATATGGTTGCAATAAAGTCACTATTTACACTTACTATCTACAGTTACTTATAATAAAAAAAGCAAAGCACTGAAGCAGATGAATTACAAGTGGAACAGTATCGGTAATTAATTTATTATTGTAGTGATATGCAAATTAGTATAATTTGCATATGAGCAGGTAGCTCATATTATAAATGGACACCAACTAGAACGGAGGTGGAAGGAAAACTTAGCAGGATACACGACATAACAATTATTGTTTAACATAGCATTATATTATTATTGTTATTGACCAGAATTATCCAGAACCATTTTAAAATAAATTTCTGGATTGATTGCTTTCTCTTAATTTTTATTGTAAAATACTGTATAATGACTTTATTGCCACCCTGTATATAAAATGAATCATTTCGTTGCTAGGAGATCTGTTAAAAGGAAGTAACAATTGATGACTTAAATTACCTATACAGCTAGTATAAAGGCTAAGTTTGTAAAGACATCATTAATCCGAATATGTACAAAGATTTGTCAGATTTTACATGGGTTAGGAATTGAAGTCGTCGTGACATTAAGCCAACTGTTCAAACATGGAACATTTTTTAAAACTGTCTGCTTTCTTTACTAAAAGAATGTTATCAAGTTAAATATGTCAACAGGATGACAGCTGTGGGCGTGTGTCGTGTGGTATAGTTAGTATCTTCCTTGGGAGAGGGGGGAATTTAAGTCGAAAAAAGTAAAATATTTTATCTAAAAGATAAAATTGATAGAAAGTGATTTTTAAAAAAGGCCTGTTGAAAAGATTTCGAGTTTCACGGAATGCTGGGTAACTTGAAAGATGAACAGATTAATTAATCTATTTAAATTCTGTAAACGTTTTTGAAGCACGTTGTATGCACATGCGCACACGGACTTATGTACACATAAGTTTTGTTTGGAGAATGATTAAGCCATTTGCAATTAACGGTAACGTAATCTAACAAGAACAAGGGTGCCCTAGGCTCTTTAATGTACTCTCATTGCGGGTCTCATATTTGTCCCAGTGTAATCTCATCTACCGTCTTAAATTACCTCATTTTCAATCGCGAATTTAACTTTTACAAACCTGGGCGATACGATGATTTCTTATTCCCACCCCGCAACTTTAAAAAAAAAAAAAAAAACTTAAATGATGTGACAAAGGATTCAGACAGTTGCCCCCCCCCCACACACACATTCCTTTTTCTTCTTCTGATTCCTGCACTGTCAGCTGATGTATTTTCTTTGATTGCAGCCTACCCGTATTCGTCGTCATCAGGGTGGTTCCGTTTGTTAAAGGACTTCCACAACGCGCGGATCGTTCTCAACGGATTGTGTCAAGTTTGAAACATCAGCACCAAAATTTTATTTGGGTTTTTATTCAGAATCCTTCGAATTGGGTTCGCAGAATAATTTTCAAGTTTCAAGCAAAATGTAAATTCATTGTGAAAGCAAGCGTCACACAATACACGTGCTCACTCAATGACGCCTGACTAACTGCAATGAAGACAGTCTATTCACGCATAAGTAAAAATCAATCATCAGTGATTGTTTGTTGATATAGCATCAAGACTGAGCAACCGTTTCTTAAAGACAGAAAATCGTATGCATATATAAAGGTCTGCGTACTAAGCTTCGTTATGCCAATATCTGCAGGTATTCAGACAATTATGGAGCATGTATGCATAAAAATAGGCACACACACACTATATATATGATGAGAACAAAAGTAATATATAAATTCCAACATTCACAGCATTAATCCAAAAGATGGCTCGATACCGATAGTAGAGCGATAATTATTTATTATAATTTTATCATAGACAAAAACAGTTTACTCACTATAAAGATGCAACTTGGTTTCAGTGCATCTTTGTAGTGAGTAAAATGGTTTTGTCTATATGATAAAATTATAATGTATATATATATATATATATATATATATATATATATATATATATATATACGCACACAGGGCACAGTAGATGAAGGCGTTGGTTAGATCCAGTTACAGGACCCAAAGAGTGCGAGTTCAATACCCTGTTAAGGCAGTTGAGAACTTGGAGAGGAGAATTAACAGGAGATAACTGATAAAACTGATATCTATTAAACATGGCACGTGGAACTAGAATAGTCTGCCCCAGTGAGCGAAATAAAGGGTTCAGTTCAATATTCCAACCACCTGAAGAAGGCCGGAGCGTACAACGGCCGAAACGTTGTAATAAATATGGTGACAAAGATGAGGACAATAGTTCAAATAATGTAAATAGTATACATAATACCTCCTCTTAGAAATATAGACAGAAACATTTACTGGCCTGAATGTCCGAGAAACCTCCGACAGGAATCGAACCTGTAGCCTACATGGAACTGTCATATAGTCTGACGTGCAGTAAATTACAGTAAACTCAGCAAATATTTTGGAAAGTCTTTTGCGGCAGACAAATAAACCTAGACGAAATATTCCTGTCAGATGTTGCCGAATCACATCACGATTCCAAGACAGATGAGTCATGTTGTTTACCTAGCGTAAGGGGCGGTGTTAAAACGAACTGTCCCACCCTCGGCGTTACTAACTAGCCAGCATTAGGTGGCTCACAATTGTGAAAATACACTAATCGCGATAAAACAAACAAAGATAAAACACTCGAAGAAAGTGTAATGAACGCATAAATGAACGTCCTCGAAAACGAACTGGCGTCATGTGCGCCGTTTTCCAAGGAAGAAGGAAATAGTGTCAAAGCCAGCCAGATAAAGAATACAAAAAGAAATGCTTACCTGAGTAAACAACGTTCCAAGTGTTGGCTTGTTCAAGAGAAAAATAACACGAATGGCCTGCATAAACTCGGTATTGTCGCCCCACTGGTGACAAGATGTGACACAAAGTCAGGGGACCCGAGCGCGTACACCTGAGCTCCCCCACAAAGCGGGATGTGGCACAAGGTCAGTTTAACGTCGGTTTTTCCGAGCCCGTAGGCCCGGGCAAAAATTCCCTGTAATAACGAGGTCGTGTTTGTCTACCTCACCAGACGAGACTCAGCGCTTTGGTATAGGCTCGTTTGGGTTTCTCTACGCCCGAAGGCAGGGAGACCGACAAGTTATGTGTTCACAAACCCAGAGATGTGGCGATCTCTGGGCCTACATAAACTCTCGCTGTTAGTGTGAGTCTCGAAGGATATGTAAATTCTGAACGAAATTCGCGTTACGCTATGCAAATTGGGTTCAATAAAAAAATGGGTAAGTTTACTGCAGACGATGAATTTTGTTGATAAATTTACTCAGTTGGTTGTTGCCTGGAGTACGATTGTTATTGTTCGGATTGGCTAGTGTTTTTGGTGACCACCGTTTTTAACACCTGACAGGACCCAATAGCTATTTAGGTTTCCTACCATTCTTACCTTATCCATAATGGATGAAGAGTATATTAGGGCTGTCAAAGATGTTTTCACGACTCCTGAAGAAGAGAGAAAGGAACAAACTACAACCCAGGAAACTGGCAAAGACATAGAAAAAGGAAAGGACAAGGAAAATTCACCTGCTGCTTGACCTCTACATGAAAGTCACCACCCCAATGTGTCATAGAAAATGGGGCTGTTCCAAGATGGCGCCATAAAAATTGAAATAGGTCAAGTTCGTCTTGGTTGTGTAACGTCATTAAGCATTGATAATGTCTCTCTGGTTAGCAAGCATAAATGTTCGAGGGTTGATGTCCGATACGAAAAAAGATTCGGCTCACTAGGGATCTCAAAAGCCTCGGTGTGAATATATGTTGTATTCAAGAGACCTAGCTTATTGCAAGTGACTACGATGGTGTGCTGTCATAGAGGTTCCGCCTTTTCTCAGCCTACTTTTGATAGGCCGAGATCTAGAGACGTTTCTTGGCTAGTAAGTCGTCCTTTAGACGCGACCTGTTCACTTAGGGTTCGCGGATCTGCCGGGTAGAATGTGTATGATGGATGTTACTGTAGACTTTGCTGAAAGATGGATGACTGTTGCACGAATGGGGGCGAGTGAATGGTACTAACCTCGAGTGACATCTCGAGCTGACTGGTTGATGGACTTGTTCTTCAGAGTAAAATATACCCACCCGACAGAGTTAGGTTAGAGAAGGAAACGTTCTCCTTTTTTGTTTTCTCTGAAAATTAGTTAACTTAGCTAGGGAGTGAATGGTTATTGGTCAAAATTCTTCTTTTTTTTTTTAATTCCTCCCTCCCATCCCCTTTTTATGCAACTGTAGGCATAATTCTTTGGAGCAGTGGAAACATTTTGTTTTCTGTTTATTTTAACGTATTTTTTCGCCCAGTTATCTTGGTTTTCTGTCTTGTTAGAACGTGGAGAGGGTCCCATAGTAACATTTTTGTTTACTTATATATTTGCTTATTCATGCAAATCATGGGGTTATTTTATCATGTTGTTCATCCCAGAAGTTTGTAAAAATCGGGGTGTTAGTTTACGTATTCGTGGCGCGAATGCATTATTTTATTTTTTTTTAGGTAAATTAATACGGTATTATGGTGAAAGGATTATTTATAATTGGGTCAGTAAATGTGACTAGCTAAATTTAAGAACAGTGTTGACCAGCTTTTCCCCATTTTCGACCTTGTGCCTCTTTTATGTATTTTTACATTAATATTACGAATCGTTAATTATCGGGGAGAACGAGTTCTTGAGACGTGCGAGTGTTGGATTGAATTTTACCACCCCGGATAAAATTTTAAGCGCCCCCCTCCGCCTAAAATTGTACTACAGAAAGTGAATCCCGATTTCCTGTTTAATTCTTGTTTCGCTGATCAGAAAAAAAAAAACAATGTTTATTTTGAAAATTAATAGCAACCAGTTGGGGTCGTGGAAATTCTATGGGTGTTGACAACTAAGATTATCCATTTACCTCTTACCACTACTCTTCATAAACTTTTCTTCCCTGCATCATTTTTTGCCTTATCCTACTCAATATTCGTTGACCAGCCATATGTTTTTACTAAATCTTACGCAAAAAAATTAGATTCAAAATCGAAAACGGAAATTAAAATAAAAACTGCAAATACTTTCTATTTCGTCTTATTTTTTTCTGTCACTCAAAGAATTTTAATGTTATCGTAATTTTGACGCCTTTCCATTTTCTCGCTCATTGTCCCTTGGTATTCTGCCAGTAAATCTGTGTCTTATTTCCATTCCCCGACCCCTCTTTCCTTCTTTTTGCCATTATTTTTCTCTTTCCTTCTTTTTGCCATCATTTTTTCTCTTTCCTTCTTTTGCCTTCTTTTCTCTTTCCTTCTTTTCGCCATCATTTTTTCTCTTTCCTTCTTTTCTCCGTCATTTTTTTCTCTTTCCTTCTTTTCTCCGTCATTTTTTTCTCTTTCCTTCTTTTCTCCGTCATTTTTTTCTCTTTCCTTCTTTTCTCCGTCATTTTTTTCTCTTTCCTTCTTTTCTCAGTCATTTTTTCTCTTTCCTTCTTTTCTATGTTATTCCAAAATCGATGACGATTCATCCAAATTGGAAGACCTGGGGATCGGGTCGGCGTTCCGTCCCATGGCTGAAATATTCAGTTCTCAAAACCAAGTAGACTAACAAGTTTTCGAATGCTCGTTATCTCTTGGCAGACTGGCGCAATTCAGTCTTTCTTATCCTACCTTCCCCCATTTAGCTTAATCCAAGAGCAAGCAAATATTAGTAAATTTCTCTAACAGATTGGCAGTTGGTAAGCATGTCAGATTTGGATAATAATAGTTTGGAGGGGTGGGTCGGGTGTATTGTTGACGATAATTATGAGGAAATTAAAAGAACCAAGCCACACATATGGCAAATACTTTCCGAGAGGAAGTGGAAATCAGATCCTTTCCGTGTCCGAAAAAGAATCCCGTCGGGATGTGTCGGTATCAGAATGCGAGCAGGAAGCAGTTGATATGATGCGAACTTTCGTCATTCGAGTGACAGAAACTTCCTCAATCCTCATGAGTTTTATCTCTTTTTTCATAATTGACCGACATTTTAAAGCTTAGCGGAAACAATATAAATCAAGAAAGTTTAACAATGTTTTCAAGAGAATATTTTTATCGCACCACAAGTCGCTGTTTTGCTATTTATAAAGTTTTACTAATTTGGGGACAAATGAGTGGAGAAATAGGTTGTTTAACACTTTGCCTGTTCATATGGGATGCACAGGACATGTGATTTCCACGTCTGTGCATCCTATGTCGTGCACATGAGCCATGATTTTAAGAGTGGTAAAGCTAAGGACGCTTCTTAAGTGTCCTTAGTTTTACAACTCTTTTCTTAAAAGAAAGCATTATTAAGCAGGGCGTCTGACGAAAGGCCTAATCTATTTTGTGCATTATTTATGACCACAGGACGCCTGATTGATAATGTAAGGTCTGAAATGAAAGCCATCTATTTTTCCACTTTATTGAAATGATTATAACCTTTGCATCACATGTGATGCACAGAGCGTAGTGTAAATAACTTATGATTTGTACATTCTGTGCATCAGATGTGATGAACATCTTTTTATTATGTGAAACACTATATATCTGCAGATTCTATTTGCCAAATAACCTAAGTTGCCTTCCAATAGTTACAAAGCTGAAAACAAGCATAAACGTTTTGATAGTACACACGAAAATGCCCTGGACAGGCAAACGGTTAATGCCTTTTGCGACCCCCTCCAAATTGTTAAAACCATTAAAAATCACGAACCTGGAATGTAAACGCGTATCGGCTTGCCCCCCCCTCTTAAAAAGCAAACAAACTTGCATAATTTTCTAATGACAACATTGACCGAAATGGTAATAATTGTCATTGGTTGTATGTATTGCAATGTAGTAGTCTTTTATATTTTAATGAAAAGACAACAAACAGGCGTGACGCTTAGAAAAGGTCGGCGGAAATGCATTCCCTATTTAAGTGACTGTCATATTTGAATGTCTCTTCTAAATGAGAGAATTGTATAAACAAGTAGATAATATTTTTTATATGACAGTGAATACTAGACAATTTCGTCACAGATGAAAAAGAGACTTGAAGCAGCAGAAACATGGTTCTACTGAAGAATGCTGAGAATACCCTGGACTGAACATGTGCGCACCGACGAAATTTTAGAGAACATGGAAACAAAAAGGACATATTAGAAAGCGACAGTTGAATTATCTAGGGCGCACAATGAGGAAAGAAGACTTGGAAAATTTGACACTCACAGGACATACTGAAGGCAAAAGGGATAGCAGAAATCCAAACATAACCTACCTAACGAGGAATGGAGGACAGAACAGGGTTTAGGAGATATAGTGAAAAGACAACATTTACTAAGAGCTACGAAAGACAGGAAATTGTGGAGAGCCATGATCTCCAACGTCCTGAAGGGACACATAGAAGCGCAATAAACTAAAAAGCAAGCAAAAAGGCAGGCGAACAAATTTTTTTCTGTCTGAATTTCTGAAAGGATGGAGAACACAACGGCTGAAACGCTGTGATAACAACAAAGATGAAGACAACAGTCCGAATATAAATAGCGTCGAATAAGTTTTTGTATAAATTTTAAAACAGTACAGGTTTTAATTTTTGTCAGAAGAAATGAAATAATATTTTGTTATTCCTTAGAATTCTTTTATTTAAAGTCACTTTACACTAAATTCACTTCAACTTTTATTAACAGTAAAAAATTATTCCATTAGAGACAAAATCTTTGTTTTCCATATTATGAGGACAGACTTTTCAAGATATTTTTGCCGAAAGTAGTTTTATTTTTTTAATAACGAAAAATCAAACCGTAGAATAGACTTTTTTTTATAACTTCAGAAACTCTTTTCCTTATAATTAAAGTTTCTACTTAAAATCAGACTGTCTACTTCCTGTCGAGGTTGACAATAGCCGTCACAAATTTTGTTTTTACTTCCGGGACAGATAAAGTAGATAAGAAAAAGTAGTTTGCCTGAACTCTCACTCAAATGTCAAGAGTTTTTGGCGATTTCACTGAGTTCAAGAGAACAGGAATTCTGCCTAACCAAGAACATTAATACGAAATGAGAATAAACATCCTTAAGTAGAAATCGAACCCAGTTAGCCGAGTCGGTTTCCCGTGACGATAAACTTTATACTACTCACGACATCCATCTCATTAATTTTGTTGCAAATTATATTTATTTTATTTGTTAATGCCTGCATGGGCATCTCAATGATTGGTTGATTTTGTTTAGCGGCATATCAACACCCCTATGGATAATTTAATGCCGAAATCTAAATATTTTGAACGCAATTGTATATCTTCAATTACAGATAAAAATTTACTGTTGGTCATATCTGTGTGTGTGTGTATGTATATATATATATATATATATATATATATAAATGCTAGTAATTTTACTATAAAAATGTATTTTTATATTTTCATAGTGTTTTTTTTTTTTCATAAGGGGGTACTATTTGCCTATAGCTGAGACCCTAACAAGTGCTAACACCTCGGATCAGGGTAGGCCTGAAACAATATCAATTAAGAGGTGGTTCTGCTCCCCTGAAAACCTCAAATCTCCCGATCAAAGGTCATGCTGCTTGATGTAGTTTATCGTCATGTCTAGGACATCTCATAAAAATACACATTCAACAATTTAAAACAAGAAAAAAAAAAGAGGAAAATAGTTTTAAAAAAAATTGAATATCGTTTTTTGTTTAGTTCAGTATGATATTCAATGTTTTTTATCTTCTTTTCGAAACTTTCTTCCGACATCTCGCAATCTTGTCTCCACAGTCCACTTCTCGCGTCATATTCGCAAAATCCATCCACTTTTCTTTGAATGCTATATACACATTTGCAACAATTTTCGTATGAACGGGCAGCTTTATTCCAATGAAATATCTTTTCCGTATAACAAAATCTGCCGGGAAGTTTGTGGCACTGCATGAATAGATTTATATATATATATATATATATATATATATATATATATATATATATATATATATATATATATTGTAAAATGTGTGCTCATAGTTTGATATGTAGGCCGTATAATGGTTAAAGGCTCGGAGCCTAGAATATAAGCGAGTTCGAATTCCAGTCAAAATCGTTATATTCATTTTTGTAGAAATACCCGGCAAAGCCATGAATCCATCTATTCTCCCCTTAGCTATGGGTTAAATAGTAGGACCAACTGCACTCTATAGCAGTAACCGTAGCTGGCAACCGGTAAAGAACACCACCTTTGTCTTCCAAACCGTGTGTACCCCTAGCGGGGTACATAAAAAGGCCCGCTCCACCCAGTTGCAGTATAAATGACAGGCTGTCTCTGTTAAAGAAACAAATCTACAGGAAGAGATTGACATACCTGGAAACTATCAACGATGCTGAAGATTAAAAAATCCCACAGATTTTGCGAGTCGAAACAACTCTGATGAGTTGTTGAATCTGATTAACATTTTAGACGTTTAATGTCAGAACTAACTAAACCTAGTAAATAACTAATAGTCACTTCAGCATCGATGCTTAAAAATCCTTAATGTTAAAAATTAGTGAAATCACGTGATCTTTTGACATTTACTAAGCTTAGTTTTAGACTAACATAGTAAAAGTTCGAGTAAAAACAGCAGGGCATCGTGACAGTTGATTTCTTTACTCTTGCGAATTGTGTTCAAGATTAATTTGCAATTAATTTGTCTCTCGAGACGGGCGTCTAAAATTATGTGGATTTTGATTTGCTTGTTAGCCAATCAAAATTATCCTTTATATTTTTAGTCGGTAAGATTGGATATAAAATGTTTCGTTTTTCTTTACCCACACAAATACTTTTTCTTCCGATAAAAAAAAGTAATCGATGTTTTTCTTGAAACTGGGAATATTGAGGACTGCAAATAAAGGAATTTTCACAAAGCATTTTCTGTTCAATCTGATCAGCAGAATATGTTAATGTCAAATATACTGGAGTTGATAGATCTTCTTTATGAGCGGTGTCCCCTCTAAACGGAGGCGATCATAGCTCTCCACAACTTCCTACCCCTTGCAGCTCTTAATAAATTATGTCTGTTATTTCTCCTAAACTTTGCTCCACCATCCATTTACTCAAGCTCACTAAGTATGTTATGTGCTGTTTTTCTCTGTCTCTCTTGCCTCCAATCTGTCCTGTGAGGATCAGATTTTCCAAGCCCTCTTTCCTTGTGTGCCATAGAAATCTCAACTGTTTCTGATGTTCAGTATGTTTCTTTTTGTTTCCAATTTCTCTAAAACTTCATCCTTGCTCACATTTTAACTCCATGGTATCCTCAGCATCCTTCTGTAGAACCAATTTTCTGTTGCTTCATTTTCTCAGGTATTTAAATATTTGTACTTGTTTGATTTTGGTATCTCCAATTTACAATTCGCACTCTAGGTTCATCCTTTTGCTAACAACCATAAATTCTCTCTTCGTACAATTGGTGATTAGTCCTTTCTTCTCGCTTTCCTTCGCTACCTTCTGTAAGAGGTTTTGTAGTTTTCTTTCTGTATCTGTTATCAACACTGTGTCATCTACATATCTTATGTTGTTAAGGTTACGGCGGCCAATAAAGAATCTTGGTAAGACTTAGTTTCTCAGTAACGCCTCGCT